GCATCAGATGCCACCTTAGAAAGAGCTGAGCAAGGGAGAGCTGGAATGGGGGTGGTGAGAGGGAGCATGAAGTTGGGAGTTTGGCCCCCGATTCACTATGTAACATTGGAAATCACTCTTCTCTGTGCCTCGGTTTTCTCATCTATAAAATGGGAACGCTAATCTTGTAGTACTTATTCTATACGCCAGTCAGGGTTATGGGGATCAGAGAGAGATAACCAATGTCAGGCACATAGCATGGTGTTTGGTCCAGAGCAGAATGTTTTGTTATTGCTGTTGCTGAAGGCCCGGAGCAGAGTGCAGTGGCTAAGAACATGGACTCCACAGGCAGGTTACTGGGTTCAAATCCTGGTCTGTCCCTCACCCCCACCCTCTTCACCTTCTCAACCTTATGTATCCTTGAGCAAGTTACTTCACTACTCTGGGCCTGTTTTTCTTTGTCAAGTGGGAATACTACGAACACCTCCCCAGAGGGGGTTGCAAGTACAAAATGAATTATATATGTGAAGCAGCACCAGGCAACGGTAGGTGCTTCACACACTTTAGCCATCATTCAATATACAGACGGTCAGTGGAGGATGTCCGGGACCCTGGCTGTCACTGTCAGTTGTCCTCAAGTCCATTGTGACTCATGGTGGCCCTAGGTGTACCGTGTAGAACTGTGCCGTGGTTTTCAAGGCTGCCACCTCTTGGAAGCACACCTCCAGGCTTACCTTCTGAGACACTCTGGCTAAGTTTGAACTGCCAACAACTCATAGTCAAGTGCTGAACTGAGCCTTGGCTGGTGCCCCCAAAATACTCCTCTGTCAGGTTGCTGCCCATTCATTTCTTGTCCGTTTACTGGGTCTGTAGACTGAGTTTGGAATCCAAGCTGTGCTCAGACATTAAGGAATCAGGGGAGGGGGTGTACAGCATGCTAACTGTTACCACTACTATACTCACCCCTTATCATGTGACAGAGCTCTGGCGGCACAGTTGTTAAAGCACTGAGCAGCCAACCAAAAGGTTAGTGGTTCAAACCCACCAGATGCTTCACAGGAAAAATACATGGCAGTCTGCTTCTGTAAAGATTACAGCCTTGGAAACCCCATGGGGGCAGTTCTTCTCTATCCTATCGGTCACAGAGAGTTGGAACCAACACAACAGCAAGGTTTTTGTTTGTTTGGTTCGTTTTGTTTTGCTTGTTTTTATCATGCGTCAGCCTCATTACATGGATTTTATCCATGTCATCTCAGATAAGCTCCCCAAGGACACTCTGAGGTGAGTTACTATCACTCTATTTCCCAGATAGGAGTGAAAATAACTCACCTCAGAGTGTGCTTTTTGAGTTGTGGTGTTGGCAAAGAATGCTGAAAATACC